AGTGTACATATTGGGAGCCGGACCAAGAAGGCTATCAGGTCTATGGTTTTGACCAAGTGGCCAATTACAATTCAGATAACTATTTATACCTGACGTATGGGTAACGTGTTTAAGACGTTTATTTCCAAGGTTTGTGATTGATTTCGGCTTCTTCATATGTTGGAGAGGATTATGTACTGTTAAACATACTTGCGATGGTTTGGGAGGTTCGAATATATCAACGTTAAGTTCGTGGTCAGTTATATGAATGTTATGATTAGTTTTCCTGTTATCTGTTGCACAGCTACTGTAACTGGATGTTGCACTAACAGGGGTTTGGACTGTGTTATCCCATTCTTCATCAGCACAACTACTTCGGGTTGAATCTAAATCAACATTCTTAAGAGGATGGACACCACCTACATCGGGATTACTTTCTTCTGGGTTTTGAACTTTAGGAGATTCAGAAGAGTTTTTCGGTGGCGGCAAAATTGTTAAGCTAGACGTCCTCTTAGAATCGGACTTAACTTTACGACCATTAGGATTATGATGCGTTTGAGAGTTTGACGCTGGTTGTCTGTAGTTATCTCTTCCTGCTTTTGTAACATCATTATATGCCTTCCGACTCTACGTTGGACTTTTGACGCGGATTACTATTATATAATACTATTGGACTCCGTCTTCCTCATTAAGTCATTGGTGCAGTCACTTGCAGAGGAACACCTGTCAATCAAGTGAACTCAGTTTGTGGTTGTTGTTCTCACGAAGCATCTCACAAGTAACATTCATTCTATAGTAACTGTTATTGTCTGTTTGTTTAATATATCTTTTGTATTTCTAACAGTGTTTTGTTACCTTTGGTTTTTACTAACAGACAGACACCTAGATGACTTCTTTTTAATCTTGTGCATACACATGGTACGTGTGTCATATTGCTGGCTCTAAGCAGACTAGATTTGATCTTTTTAAGGGCATGTGTATCCGGTATATTAAACACAATTGCATTACTAGATCGTCTTATTCTTTCAAATACCTCTGATGCAACACGATCTAGGAAAATATTTATGTCATTCATTTGATCTGGAATCTCTGTGAGGTTGGGGTTGATGAGATATTTAAGCGGATTGAGAATGTTCATGTCTACTTGCAACTTTTTTATAGCATCCATATGGTTGCAGTTGCGATTATCATCACTGTTTACCATCAGAGTTTTCAACATGTCTCGAATGGAGACAACTGGTAAACGCTTGTCTGCTTCCGGATGAACGGAATGGCTCGTCCCGTTGAAACTGTTGGAAATCGTGTCAGTAGTGGTGTTAAATTGTGTCGTTTTCCTACGTTTGGCTGAACGCCTAGAAGCAGGGGTCTTCATTTTAATTTGTGGCATAATAAGAAAGTGACGTATAGCAAGTGGATTGAACAGAATGTTGGAAACAGAAAGAGGTGAAAAAAAATCAATTCCGAGGGCTCAAGTTAGTCTAAAAATCAAAATCTATGTTGTACGGATTCTTCTTCTCTTAAAAAATATTTCATCCAATTCTGGATAATTTGTGTCTTATGTAACGGATATTTGTATGTAGATGTATTTTGTGTGATATAAGAAGAGAAAATGTTGAAATATGGTATCCTAGCTCCATACTGTACTCGTCATATCATACTCAATTATCATATTAAAGCTTGTTTTCTTCGCCACAAGAAGTGTCTTTGATAGATTATCCGTTGAGAACTGTTTACTTTCGACATCGTCTGACAGTTTATACCACAGGCCTATGTGGGATTTGTATTAACTGATGATTCCTATATACTTGATTGTGCTCTCATTACGAATCACAAATATTACGTCCATCTAGTTCTACCTTCCTTACATTGAACTGAGTTCTCAGTAAGTACATTAATTTAAATTCATTTATTTGTTATACTGGCGTCGCGATGGATTTGAATCATGGGCAGTTGGATATTAATTTAAGTGGCGACGAATTCCAGGAATATACGGAATAGTTCTAAACCTGGTGCATGACAAGAAAAGTTCACAGTTTATTTTCTGAATCTCATCAGCAGTGAAGCCTACAACTTGCTAAAAAATCTTGCTTTCCCAGATAAACTAATTTCACTAACATCTGAATTGTCATGTGCAACGCGCTAAATTTGAATGCATATAGAGAGAGATGGGAGTTTCATAAAATCACCAGATTTTTTACTCTATACTTGAACTGCAGAAACAGGCTGAGAAGCGCGAGTTCACTCAAGCTCCCGTTTGAATATCTTCAATTTTAATCAGATCATTATGCCTGGAATTACTGTAAACTAAAATACCAAATGGGTATGATAAATTTTTGGTTCTCGATTCAATATTACTGAAGTTTATCATTACGAATACAATAAGCTTTCAGCTTCGGATATTTGGGATGCATTGTGATCATAAAAGTTCAAACTGATGCTATATCTCAAACCCACGTCACGAACAGTGTTGAAAGGTTTCAATGTGTTTTTGTATGACCGGATTCGGGGTAAAGCAGCGACGAATGTGAATAAATCCACCTTTATCAACATACAGTAACAGGTTCCACGACACAGTTAATTCGTACAATTTGTCTATTTCTTCTTGAACTACCGCTGAAATGTAGCTTTCTTGGTTAGGAAACAAGAGAAAAACTACTTCTGGGTTATCAGTAAAAAAGTTTAACGTTTTGAAAGAAAGCGAACGCCATCAACGAAAAGGAGAAATAAAAATGAAACAATTACACTTGTGTGTATAAACCCAGTGGATACATTCACAGGCTAAGAATAGCAAGATCCAAAGTGAAAGATTTGGCGAAGTGATTGTATTACAAATTGCCTGTATGTGTCCAATTTTACCACATTTAGTATTACGGAATACAGATGAATTACAAGAGTGAAATGTGCCACAGAACGAACATTTACCGAATTTGTGCTCATCTCCGAGATCTGCTTCGTAACTCTTCAATGAATTACCTGCATAACCGTGAGTACGCATTAGAATGGAACGACATGGTCATGTAGCGTGATTGTTGTAAGTAGCCACTGACGTTAGCTCATGCTGCACAAGACCACCCAGTGTTTGTCACGATGCAAACCATAGGTGACCAAAACCTCTAAAAGTGCTTTCAGTAACTTTGATGAAGTTTTATTTTTGAATAAAACGAACCAAAATGGGATTTTAGAGAGCAAATAACCATGCCAAAAAAGAAAATGCGATCTACTGAACGCAATGCCAGGGGCAGATTCTTTGGAACAAACCTAATAACTGTTGCTTCTGGAAGGTAAAAGTTTGAAGACAAACAATATTAACAGAATAATCTCCATTCATTGAGGTACTACAACGCATTACCTGCTGATAAAGAAAATATAAGTGCCGAGATGGTACAATAAGTCTATGGGCTTATCATCACAGAACCCGTATCTAAATGGATTATGAAGCATTTAGGAAAGAACGGTTTTCGTGCTTCAATAACACAGTACGTATTAGAAGTGGATACGACAAATGGGCTTAGTGGCTAACAAACAACAAGGAACTACATTAAGAACCGAATATCACCAACGTAGTTGATCACAAGGACTACTTTAGAATTCGTGCAAAAGCTATGAGTCACAATATCAATTCTGACTCATTCACTGAAGGTCGCTAAAGTACTATACAAATTTAGACATACTACTTAAGCATAAGACCACAGATTTATGGGTTATGTAAACTATAACATAACAGCATCGCATTTCAGCCACGTCACTTGGAGATTATGGGCTAGTGAGCCATACCACCAAGAAACTGATCGCTGTCAAGTTTGTTCCAAAAGCAGAAAACATTTTCAACAAACCAAATCTCGACACTTCGGATCATTGTTGAACAATCAATCGTCACTATACATCAAGTTCCCTGACTATGAGAAAGCATTCGGCAGTGTGAATAGGCAAACCTTGTGAAACCTCCTTCAGGTACACTATGGTGTTCCTGAGAAAATCGTCAACATCATACGGCGTACTACACTAACAAGCAGTGAATGAAGGACAGCTGACAAAACGCATTCCGAGTCGGGGCAGGGGGTCGGACAAGAACGCCTACTCTCTCCCTTCTAGTTGTTGACTGGATTATGAAGACCTACACATCTGAGGCGAAGCACAGAATACAATGGACTAGATGGTTTGGACTTCGTTGATCACCTAGCCTTTCTATCCCATACACACGAACAAATGAAGGTCAAGACAACTAGTGTAGTAGCAGCCTTTATATCAGTAGACCTCGACATACACAAAGGAAAAGCAACATCCTCAAATGCAACACCGAGAACACCAGCCCAATCACATTTGATGGAAAAGCTTTGAAAGGTGTGGAATCTTCCACGAATCTAGGAAGCATCATCGATGAACAAGGAGGATCTGATGCAGATGTAAAGGTACGGATTTGCAAAACAAGGACAGCATTCCTACAGTTGAAGAACACATGGAACTCAAAGCAAATGTTTGCAAGCCAACATCAAAGTCAGAATCTTCAATGCGAACATCAAGACAGTTCTACTGTATGGAGCTGAGACTTGGAGAACTAATACAACCGTAATCAAAAATGCACAAGTATTTATAAACAATAGTCTACGCAAGATTTTAATGTTTGTTGACCGGATATTATCAACAACGGCCTAGTATGGGAGAGGACAAACCAGCTTCCATCTGAAGAGGAAATTAGGAAAGGACATTGGAAGTGGGTATGACATACATTGCGGAGATCACCAATCTGCATCACGAGGCAAGTGCTAACTTGGAATTCTGAAGGGAAGAGGAAAGGCCAAAGAACACACTGCATCGAGAATTGGAAGCAGGAACCGAAATGATGAACAACAACTGGAAAGGATTGCCCAGGACAGGGTTGGGTGAAGTGTTCTGGAGGGTGTAGTATGCTTCTCCGCGAAGAGTAAAAGGTGAATGTTTTGCTACATAAACAAAAGTCACCTAGAGTTCACGCACATCTTAAAGTATTGTATTTTTTAGGGAAAAAGAACGAAGACTCAAAACTATTTATATTGTGCAACGACGTGTTTCTCTTTATCAGGAATAAATGGAAGATCATTTTTATTAAATATACGAGTATTTCTTTCCTTGCGCCTTTCTTTCGCTCTGATTACTGCATGTTCTTTACTGGAGGCGTGAATCGTTTTTGGCAGATGACGATGTTTTAGAATTTTCCGGACTTCTGGATGGTCTTTGAATTTCTCTCGTAAAGATTCACATGTCTGTAGGGATGCTTTTTGTCTTGGCTGAATCTAAGCAGAATAAAATGTAATGAGTAAGGTGAAGAAAAATACCGGTCCAATAAGTTCGTTAGCGTGAGCTTTCCATAGTCGGACGTTCTGATCTGATGATGATGACAGAACAAACTTCGCATCTAATGTCACCTTGACAACAAGCACACGCTTCATGCGTCTGGTGTGATAAACATCAAATGATTCTGTAGAATCACACTTCCAAAGTCGAATCTGGTGAAATAAAGTCAGAAAACATGTATGCTTACTGTTGAGTCGTAGCTTCCAGTTACAAATTCTCTTCCAGTTGGTGAATAGTCTACATCAAGTACAGCATTTACGTGACCACGGTGAACTCTGCGAGGGAATTTGAAGAAACGATTGTCGAATGTATAAACATTATAGTCTTCGGATGCAGCAGTGAATATGAATGGTTCCATCGGATTCCATGAAAATGCATTTAATTTCAAATCCATTTTGACCTGAAACACGAATAACATGAAATTAAAATGTTACGATTTTAGTAAAAGCAAACACTTATTTCAACTCTAAGAAGAGATACAGTATCGTCATTTCAAATGAAAAAAATATATAAATTAACCTGAAATATACGGAAGCTCTGTTAGAAATTAACATTCACCTTGGATCGAAATATTAGAAACACCACTTTATAATAATATACCTTTTGAACTCATGTTTACGTAGCTTTGATCCAAATGATGACAGATACATGAGATTTGCTAATCTCCAAATATTTTATGAGCCAAGATCAAAAACAGACGACAATCTCCATGTAATATATAAGAATTAAGATGAGTACCTCCTATTATTCAGGTTATTCAGTCACTCAAAACAATCGATATGCAAATCTACATTGTGCTTGACAAAACCCGGAAGTAATGTATACGAAATGAGTTCTATAAATGTAAGGATGACCTATTGTATCGTTTCGCAATAAGATAAAACATGTAAAGACATGCATATTAGTAAGAGCTTTAACATTTTGGAGAAATCAAAACAAGTCAAAATAAAATTTCAATGATTGAGAACATGAGTCAATCGAAGCTAGACCACCATAGAAAGCCTGGACGGGCGTTTCGTCCGATTGTGGGACTCCTCAGCAGTGTGCACCTACGATCCTGCCCCACGAGATTTGAACCCAAGATTTGTCAGTCTTGTGATTTGTTTGTAGTCTTCCTGATCTGAAATGTATAATCCTAAGAGGAGACACTCACTTGATTCCAAACGACGATGCCCCGTGAAATTTTAGATTTTTATGTACAGATGCAGTCACTATGTTATTTGATTGCAACTATGTGGTTTACACTTCTGAACTATAATTACCTTTCTTCTAAATTAACCAGAGTGAGATATGAAACTCATTGTGTACTGGTGTTAAGTTTCAAACAAGTACGAAACACTACTACATACCACATGACCTTATTAAGTTTTTCGCATTGTTAGTCAATTGAAGACAAAACGGAACATCAGATATGCAACCCAGGATGATGCAAACGGAGGTATAGCTCTAAAAAGGACCAAACACATAAAAAAGAACTACGCTTCGATAAATTACTGAATTTTGTGGAAATACAATCTTTTATTTACGTTAAACGACCATCAATTAAGCAACTGAGATAAAGACTATAAGTAGTGAGATTTTCTAGCTTAGTAAAAGTAAACATTTAACTGGTAATTCAGAAGTAATATCTAAATAGGTTATAGGTGTTTATTTCGCAACGACATGGCATTTGATTGGTAAAACATAAAATGAGGAGACAAATTATTTTCAAACAACTATAAAACACTAACTAAATAAAATTTAAGTTCATTTAGCAACTAAATTTGACTGTGGGAGAACAAAACTAATAACTTAGTTCGAGGCGGGCTACATAACTCAGGCATCTGTTTTAGTTGTGATAAGTATCAACCATCAAAATTCCATTTGCAATCATTAAATAAAGTAAGTCCATCTATAAAAATATTTACAAAAAGCACAATTTTTGATTAGACCCTTGTTGAACATTTGGGATTAGTAGTGTGAAAAACTATTGATTTAGACCTTGAAAATTTAAAATGAAGTTATTGTTCACTTTATCCAAACACGAATATTGGTATAAGGAAGCACCGAATAGGTATGAGCCACACAAGTCACTTGATTTATGTGTGAGCTATGATATTCCCCGCGTGTCCAAACCAAAGCAGGTGATTTTCTTAGGGGACCGCATCCGGACTCTCGACTTAAAGGTCTGAACCACAATGAAGTGGAGTAACGTAAGGAGATTCAGTCCCGTGGGAGCCGTGGACCAAGAACCAGTTCATAAGCCATTTGTTCCCTCAAGATTCTGGAGCCCATGTGCACCATTGGTTTGGAATCAGGGTTTTCCAAATGCCCCCAAATGCCCTGGTACGGCCGAGAGTGGGGAGAGTCCGCTCTCCCTCTCGAAATACTCTCACATGGCCACGCGTACATAGCCTCTGCCAGGGAAGTCCTACTCACTGCCTTCTCGTGGCCGGGGTGTTGTTTACGAAAATGAGAAGACGAAAAGCGAATGTCCGGCGCCTTAACCGGGTTGGTGGATATGGAGGGTCCATCTAGGGGATTTGGAAAACCCTGATTCCAAACCAATGGTGCACATGGGCTCCAGAATCTTGAGGGAACAAATGGCTTATGAACTGGTTCTTGGTCCACGGCTCCCACGGGACTGAATCTCCTTACGTTACTCCACTTCATTGTGGATCAGACATTCAGGTAGAAGGCTCGGGGAGTGGCCCCCTAAGAAAACTGCCTGCTTCGGTTTGGGCACCCAAGCAGTATCACAGCCCTCACACATATCGAATGAGGTTTGTGTGGCGCATATATATTTGGTACCTCTTTGTACCAATATCTGTGTGTTGAAATAAATAAATAAGGTATAATTTAGTGTTGTAGCCACCTGTTAAGTTGTTTCATGATTCTGATAGAGGAGTCTAATCTACAAGATTAACTATGCAAAACTTTATAATCAACTAAAATAAAAAAACTTATATAGATATTTAATCACCTTGCGAATAGGTTGATCCTGTCTGCAGTCGATTAGTATTAATGAATTATCTTTGGTTAAAGCACATGCAATATTATGTTCGACTGGATTGAACTTGGCATTATGAACCGGCTCTTGACCCCAACTCCATTCACGCAACGGTACATCAAGCCTAACTGAAGAGTATAGCAGACATGACTCTGGACCACCAATAAGAAACTCATTTGATGAAGGATGATGATCCATACAATGGGGAGTCCATTTCATCAAAACACTACTCAGTGGTTGTTTCCAACATGATACAATATCATCATAATTCATCCGCCATTGTTTGAGTTGACCATCTAGACTACACTATAATAAAAATGAAAAAAAAGACCAATAATTAATCAGATTGTTTCATAAGATATAAGATGAATTTAGTTTTCTGTACGAAAATTCTATAATGCTTGATGAGCATATACCTACACGTTTAATATAGACAATCGTTGATAAAGAAATTCATTTGGGATAGATATATATGTAAGTGAATAGCAGAACCGAAAACGAATATTGTGAATAACTTAATTTGCACGTTAATGATTAAGAGCTATAAAAATAGTAATCATTACATTCTAACCGGATTTGACTAGCTCCACTTTAAAGTATTAACCCTTTTACATAATCTAACGTTATCTATATGTTAACTTTGTGGGGCCCTTTATTTTGTTGTCATTTAGATCGGACGATGTTGACGAAAGGGCTCTCCACTTTAGTGGCCCGAGATCTGACTCCAATTAGATCGTATAAATGTCTGTTATCGCCTATCCTCGTACATAATCATCGACTCAAATCGCGTTCGTCAATAGCGAAATTAAATTAGTCAAATAACGAGAATGGACTTTCGAATACATATATTTTGTATATGCAGCGAATAGAATAGAGAGAAGCGAAACGACGCGCAGTGGAGATAGCGGGTAAGCCAACTCCCCTTTAATCAAGCGTTAATCAACATTTATAGGCACACAAAAATAAGTTACAGACATAAGATGAGTAATGGGATAAGTAGAGCACACACATATGCGCTCATATAAAAACAGTCAAGATTGATAAGCAGATAATTAACAAGGTCAAAATGTGACCCAAGTAGAATGAATAGATTGGGCTGTCCGAAAGCGAGAATAAGATATACGGGCTTAACATAATAACCGTCAGTACAACTTATACCAACCTTAAGTAGCACTTATACCGTATGAAAAGTGAAGTAAAGACTATAAAGGTTACTCAGTTGATTTCCATAGATTATGATTTGCCAATATGTTTAATGAATATTACATATTTAACTAAAACATTTATTATTGAAAAGCTACTGCAAAGTGCTATATCGGTAGATCTATTTCAGTTAGAAATTCCATCAACTAGCAAATAATTCAACAGAAACATGTATGATTTTATTGCATCAACACTATATCACTAGCAAGAGGATGAACTAGCGAATTCCCTTACAAAAAATATTATTCGAGTCAGTGATCTATCTTGGTTCTTTGTTTTTCACCCCGTCACCAATTGTTATAACATGTGGCCTGTGCACCCTGCTAATGTACGTGATGATACCGTCAATTAGAGTACAGTGACTTAGCGATCGGGCCAATGACGCATGGAACCTGTACGAGCAGTCTAAAATACCTAACGTTTCTGCTTCCTGCCTAGCCTAGTCTGTTAAGTCTATAACACCAATATCAGCCTCTGCGATATGAATCATTTACTTCAAATATACTCAGTTTATAAACCAATCAGACAGACCACATCGTACCATAAAATGGGAAACGATATTTGTACAAGATTTAGCCAAATGTGGATATGAATGAGGGAGATAGTAATTGATAGACAGGGCATAACTCAATAATGGTAAATCGTACAATAATAATAATAATAATAATAATAATAATAATAATAATAATAATAATAATAATAATAATAATAATTCATAGGTCAAAATAAAGCTTGTGATAAGAGGAACACGAATATGAATAGTTTAGTTACTCAACAATTATACGGTAAAAGTATAGACATAGTATTGGTTCATAAATGGATCCCAAAAGTTGCCATTCACTATTCTTACCGGGATATAACAAGAACAATCTCTGAAAGACAACACTGTTTTACATACATATAAAGAAATGGGGAGCAAAGTGAAAGAAAAAAAACAAACTGACTCACTTTTAGTTATCTCGAGATAACCATTTAATAATAATTCGTACCGCCTAGATCGAAGATGCTTTTAGTAACTAGGTTGATATTAGTCTACAGATTCCGAATTTCGTCCGTAGACCGAAATTAGTAAATCAACTAACGTGATTTCTGAAGCATCGATTTAGATAGTACTTGTTACTTATTTTTGTGAGGTGAAAACCAATGTAAATTGGTTAGATTTGAACTAAAGTATCAACACCAAGTTTTTACTATTGGTAAAGGCTTTTAGTAAGCCCATTGAACTGCACTTTAGACAATTAACCCACTATGTCAAATTGTGTGGACCTGATTGAACGCAAGCCTGTACATCAATCTTTATCTATCCTCCGATTGGTGTAAACACAGACAATAAGTAGTTTACCCACAATCGACTAATACTCATAAATATATATGGATTTTTAACACTCACAAGAACATACACACAGTGGTTTCCCTGTGTGCTTGCGAATTTTATCAGTTATTACCAATACACTATCCCTACAACTGTTGTTCTGGTTTTTGAATAATCTCGAGTAACTTCAGGAGATTCGGCCTGCGTAAATACTTAGTAAACGGGATATTATTTGAGTCAGATATAGAGGGATTCATCTCAATAGGCTTTAGGTAGAAAAACGTTTGCAGACACATATACTTTGTTTTGATAGTGATATACAAAATAATCAATGGGTCCGACAATTCTAAAGATAATGAGCAGAGTTATTCAAGTTGTTTAGCTCTGTGATTGTGCCATAACGTACAAGCAATTATTGGCCTATTTAACATAAGATATCAGAAAAGAAATGTTTCGTTCATCATAGCTCGACTGGGTTATGATGATAGGTAGGTCCAACCGATGGTCAACATAACAGCTATGGTTGGGTTTTTAAAATAATGATCTGTATCAATGTAGAAATATGGATTACGATAAGTTGTGATGACAACTATCTTGCAGATTGATTAAGAAGTTTATTTATCCACTTGCTGCTGCTAATTCCAGTGTTTACTACTGAGAAGAGGATTTCAAGTGAAGAACCCGTCAGATACATTAACTGACCAGTTAACTGAAATGCTAGAATATCAGTTTAACAGATTCTTTTGGCATTAACATATGGAATAATTAAAAGGAAACAATGAGGTTGACAGAATGATGCAGCTTGTATAGACCAGAATACCTACTTTTGAAAAGGATCGGGTGGAAACAAATATGTTGATACATTCACACAGTACTTCAGTAGTAACCATTCAATCTCATCAAAGCGTGTGAAAAAAGGTACACAGTAATAAAGGAGAACATCGAAAAGGAAAGAACGAGGAACAATTAGCAGTCCGTTCTACAACAATTTAACGTGATAATGAGAAAAGTTTCAAGCGACAGAATATAAAATAAGCTAGTATATATTTGTTGTGAAATTACTTCGTTAGATTTCAAAATGATATAAGTATATAAAAATGTGACGAGCTACATACCAGGTTGTATGTTTATATGCCTTATAGAAATGGTATTAAGAAAAAGTGGCTGCGACGAAATTCGGCAATATAGTACGGTGAAGTGTGGGTCATGCTGTTGCACAATATACGAAATTATTGAAAATTAGCCAGCGGATACAGATAAAGCTATGGTAGGTGGGAAAAATAGCCGTAAAGTAAAATACTGAGCAGCTTTAACAACAGGATCGATATTGTAGCTACGGTACCTCCTTGTTTGTTATATGCAATGTCAGTTCAACTTCCGACTGCCATCTGGATGAAACAAATAATTCGGAACATACGGCATGACCGTCAGGAGCCTTTACCAAGTTCAAGTTTACTAGAAGCACTGACTCTTCTGTCTGAATATAAGAGAGTTGTAAGAGACGGATATTTCTTTTTGCATAACAGTGCACCAAGTGAGAAACGAACTTCAACATTTTCTATTTCTTGGAATGTGGAATTATTGCAGTACTGTCCTCATTGGTAAATGTATGGAATATTTAATATCTCGCCATCATTTTTACCCGCGTTTACATGATTCATACTGTGAAATTCAGCATAGTTACCCCATTTGTACATATTTTAATGGACAACTATAGTACTAATTCGCATGTGCGCGCCTTCAAGATGAATGAATCGAGCTTAGCTTTATATTTCCAAACTATCATGACTGGTTGGTAATATTCAACTTTATTAGTATTTCGACAAATATATCTAAGTACAGAACAACAATGTTATTTGTGCCGTCTGCGTCAATGGATACAGTGGAGTCCACAGTAATCAACAAACCCTCAATTTGCCAAAATGTACCGTGGGCAATCTCCAGTTCTGTTATGAAAGATCTTACTGAAACAAACAGTGAGGTGCGGGGTATTATAGAGTCTTAAACAAACTCGCTGGTGACGGTCATCCAAACATAAGGAAATACATTGTTCTTAATAAGCAACAGAACCTAAGAAGAATGAAAATTGAGATTGGCGAAGGGACCCAGAAACAGGACGTGAAGAAGGAGCACAAGCATGTATTAAACTGGTTGTAGAAATTTGTGCAAGCAGATCAGTACTAAAATATTTACGCGGAAAATAACGTAACTCTAATCTGCATATTTGGATACATTAAACTGCTCTAAAAATTAAGATGTGTAGGTAGAATTAATATATGTACTACATGAATAGACCGCCGAATCGATGCTTGCTCACGATTTATAATATTTAGTTAATCTACTAATGGGATTATTTTATCATATTAAATCGCTCTTATTGATGTGAAACCCTGTTGGAGGATACAATTTGAGACAGGAGATTAATTACTAATTGGTTGGAGTATACAAATATATCAGTCGTAAATAACCTTATTAATTTTTAATTCTCAGTTTATACATATCTGAGCTAAAATGCAATATATTTAAATAACTAGCTGAGTGAAATTGCCGATAGTGAAATAAGGTGACTTCGTAACGCTGAAGTAATGAAATTTAGTGACTTTATAAACTAAATAGAACTGCATTAATTTGAATTGTTCGTTTTCCACGGGAAACGGCACAAAAGCGATTAAACAATAAGAAAGTGGCAAAAATGTCTGAGGTTATTACTTATTTAAAATAAAGTGCCAGGATGCTATTTTCAGTTTAAAAAGATAAATTAATTCAAGAAGCAATATCTATCAACTAAATGGCGCGTATGCTGATTAGCGATTTGGATCATTCGGTGAAACGTAGCCTTTAGAGTAGGTGGTGTTGTAGGTTACTAGTATTCGGTCACAAACGCTTTAGAAGCATTGCCTGTATGTGTTTGGACGACTGAGTAATCAATCCCGGGGCTAGACGCAGGGTACTAAGCAGAAATACCAAATCGGCAGATAAGATTGCGGATCGTTACCGACTGATAGGTATTAAGTATGACCAAGTATTGCCTATCTTGCCGAGTAATGCTGGTTGGAAGAGAACTATGGGGCAGTCAGTAAACGATATTATCAGTACACATAGTCACTGACTGTTGGAGTGAGAAGTGATGGGAGGTATAGACTGCATAGTCGTGGTTCATATGATAGTTGAAACTACTGGTTTGAGACGTTGAATAAGATGGTTCTGAGTTTTTCATAATGAAACAGATACATCCACTGTTCTATGAATAATTTTCACCCTTTAGAATCACATTCTCTATGTCTAGTTTTATCACTGTCATTGATGCTACTTTGAACTTTACCTGACTTCATCTCATAATGCTGATGTGGCATGGTAATATGGACTGATGCGTAGGTGACAATTTTCAAGTTATCATTAGCAGGCCGGTTGAGCAATAACACTGTAAGCTAGTGATAATACTGATGATTTAGTCTGTAATATTATACACTGCAAGTACAAAATGTCACATCAGAATAGGTCGATGAAGATCTGGAATCTCTGATAATCATTGTATTTACCTTTAACAACAAAGATTTCCCTAGGTTATCGATAAACACCCCTAAAGTATTGTGTGATGGTAACGAATATTCTTGCTAAGTAATGGAAACGAAGTTAAGGAACTTAGGAAATCTCCCATTGAATTACTAATGCATATGATAGCGAAGCAATGGAGGTAGGAATGGAAAGTTTCATGTTTAAAAATAAGGAAAATGAACTTAATTATTACCGCTTGCCAATAGGTCTTATTTTCAACAATCCAATGTGTGGGATCCCACGGAAGTAAATAATTCAGAGCATTTTTTAAGATACTGCTTTCCACAGAACACGAATTAATGTTATGAATGAAGGTAAGCGGTGTGAAGTTTTTAATGAATTATTCCGAGCTGATGGTTTTTACTTTTCAATATCACAAAACTTGAGTATACAAAATATACTTTAGAGATTTTCCAAAAAATAGATTAATATAACGTGTTCTAGTATTTTTGAGATGAACTAGGAAACTTAATAAATCTGTATGGAGCTGTTGAGAAGCGAGTGTAGTTTCGACGTTTGAGAAATGTCGTAATTCAACATAAATGAACATGCCATTGAATGTTAACTTTGACACGGATATTCTAAATAATATGCGTACAAAATGATTTATCCCATAAGTACCCAATCACTTTATTTTGATATCTACATATTTGGGCTAACTTTGGAGGTCTTGTGCTAATTTGTCTACATTTTCTATAGCCGATTTCAAAAAACAGACAAAACTTTCCCCAAAATAGGGAGATTGATTAACTTTTTGATAATCAAATTAATAACTTACAGTGTAAATCAGCCGAGACCTGTTGGAGTGGCAGATTCCTCGAACTTCGCTCTCATGTGCAATAACCTCAACGACTTTATTTCTTTTTGATACGTTCCAGAATTGGACCTAAACGTACTAGTTGCAACAAAATGGTGAGATACGAACCTTCCCATCAGCTGTTCCAAAAGTTGCCATGCCCAAAGTCTCCGTATTTAGGGAAATATTTGTAACCCTTTCGGTTGATCCTTCAAGTGCTCCTATAAAAGGTTTGCCCATCATCTTTCCGAGCTTAGCAGCGTTAATTGCTCTGACATATTCTCTTTCACACGAAAATGGGTGTTCTGTCGCGCTGTGGTTTCTAGGAACTATGATTTCATTTGCTGATGTTAGACTTTCATACTTTTAAATATATCATCGGCAGTTTCCCTGCGAAAATCAGAAGGGTTGCGTGAGAGTAAGCGAACCTTCATATCCAAATATTCGCCAAGGTTCGGGTCACTCAATAACCAATTTCTTCGCTCATCCTTTTTCAGTCTTCACACTTGAGTAGTTAGAAGATCTGTTTTAATCCTTGCTGCTTGTTTTCCAGTGAGATACCAGCTTCTTCCTGGAAATATTCTCTGATTTGGCAGATACTGCTTATTTGGGTAAGACGTCCCAGACATCAACTGCTCGATAAGAAATGTGAAATCTCAGTCCTCAGTAATAAGGATAGGAGGTCTATCGACCTATATTAATCCTTGCAGTTTGTAATACTGTAATACTGAATATATTAACAGGAGGTGCTGATGCTACGTGTTCCGGTAGAGAATTCTAGTAATTCACTACTCGGTGCGAGAAACGAAACTCCAGACGTAAACGATTTGATCTCAGTTTTTGAACATTCTTCGAATGTCCTCTCAAATGATCGGTCCTAGACGGGAGCAAAAGGTAAGACATGTTGATACCAAGGTCATCGTTCAGTATACGATAGGCCAATATTAGATCACCTCTTATTCTACGGTAAGATAACAGAAATAAGTTAAGGTGTCTCAGTCTGTCTTCATAAGATAGGCCAGATAGACCTTGTACCATCTTAATAGCTCGTCGTTGGACTTTTTATAGCATATCTGCTTCATATTTCAAACAAGGATACGCTGCTTGAATCCCGTATTCTAAATGTGGTCGCACATAAATCGGGTATAGTAATCTAAACATTTCATAGTCTAAATACTGGAAAGACCTACGAATTGACCATAACACCCTATAGCCTTTTGCAGCAGCAGCCTTACAGTGCCTAATATGAATCCTAAATCTTCATAGTTTCTTGCTTTGGGTAGTACGAATCCACGTAGTGTTTAGTGATACGATTCGTCAGAGTTATTTACGTGCATTATTACACTCTCATTAGGATTTACTTCTAGTGACCACCTGTTCAACCATTCCACCAATGAGCTAAGATTATTCTGTATTACTATCCTATCCGGCATTCAGTGTATGGGTCTCCAAATTCTTATGTCATCAGCGAAGATTAGAGCGGATGATTTTGCTATAGTTGATAATTCATCTACATGAAGTAAAGAGAAGAGGTGTAGCGTGGCGTCGAGTTGAGATGGACTATGAACACCGCTACCAAGAAGCTCGTACCAAATGACTCCATAATATCCCCGAGAAGCCAAATATCGGAAGGCAATTAATGGACCAAGTCGAGGTTTATTTGCTGGCGATCTCGTGGAATCGAAAGGATACCGAGATCGTGCCAGGATACAAGCTTGGTTACAGAACGTAACCGGATTAGCTCGAAGTTGCGATCGAAGTATGAGAATAAGAATGAAAGCACAATATAGCTGTCATTAGCACAGTCAAACAAAAGCACATTAAAACAAGCACTGGTACAGTTGGTTATAATAATAATTGTTTTTATTAAACCAGTCGTGTTCTCGTGATAAATGTGAGTCACAACAGGAGCCCCCCGCTAGAAAGGGATTACGCTTTCGATAAATAGTGGTTTAAATCGTAGGACTGATCGGCTGACGAGCGATTGTAGGACTGATGAATTGGCGAACAGGAAAGCGATCGTTGATCGTCGAGTTGCCAATGAAAGTCGTTTTCGGAGAACGGTACCAGGGGGGATGTGCTGTATTTGTTGCTTGAATTGGCATGCCACACGAGTGGTTTGCATCCAGAATCTAAAGATTGCGTTCTTAGGAGTCCGGACCAGGAACGCTGCAGACGTAGGACGAAATATCTTTGAGCCGATGAACCAGAAACGATCAAGTTCGAGACCAAGCGTATGCCAAGCATTCGAAACCAATATATCGACTGAGTGCGTTGACAAGAGCGTGGGTGATCAGGCCAGCCTTCGCCAAAGTTGACTGAAGTCGACAGAACCAAACGGAAATGGTCGAAGGCGTGGGCTCAGGGAACAACAGAAAAATCAAAAAAGAGAAGAGTGTAGCATGCGTGTAGTATAGGAATAAGGGTGATCTTATCCGCAACGCAACCATGTAAACTTAATGTATTGCACACTGTCATTTGTGCATTCAAGTAACCACAGATTTCGTCATTTCATAATGTATTTTAAATTAAATAACTAGATTATGTAGCTAATTTTGCTCTTTTTTTAATTTTTATTCGCCACGTCCGACTGCGTTACACTGCACGTCCATTGCACGCTGGGATGTTATCTCAAGTCATATTGAGTTTATTCACATAGTTGATTGTTTCCAGATAGACCGTCAGTGCGTAATGTTACTGAAGAAAGGTTTGTTGTCCTGTAAACTATGTTTTTATGAACAACTGCGTGTTGTCTTCAGTATCAAAGCACAATATATATTTCCTTTGTCTTCTGTTAGGTAAGTTCAACTGGCCTATATTTCGTGTTTAGGTTTTATCGTCTTAATTATGTCCATTTAACTACTTTAAGCAACATGTCTGTGCAAATGGAACAATAATTATGACACTTGCTTAGTTTAGTATTCTTGGTTGTCACATAGTTCAGTTTGGTTGAAAGGATTATGGTACACTTAAGTAAAGTGCTTGAAGCCTGTAACGAAACAAATCAGTTTAGTAAGAAGAGTTGCCTGTTTCTAGTGAGCATACTGATTCAGATCAGTCTGATTATACATTATAAGATAGCTTTAAGTATGTTTGGTGTTTATTTGTAGACAGTACGTCTAACACTGTTAATGTTTCAAGACCACTGTCATTAAACGATTTCTTTGGCAATAATATCGGTAGCAGGATAGCTAAGTGTCTGAGCTTTTATTTGCCTGCAAAACAGCAGTATACAGTGTTAGATCAGGAGTGTTCAGTTTTAATTAAATGCTGCTGGCTGTGGACAAATGTTAAGAGTTTTTTGACAACTGGAACTTTTAGTTTATCAGATAATAAACCAGCTTGTATATCTTCCTGTAAAACCAGGCGCAGATGCATGGGAATACTTAGTGGGAGCAAAATAATAAAAGCTGTGCGATGCTGTACCTTGCACAAGTTTTAGTAGCTGGCGTGATCTGATATTTATGAATTCGAGGTAAATCACAGCTGGTTAAATTCTTTCCTTAGAAACATGTAATTTGTTTATTTACCTTTTCAACATTCTTGACTAAATCCATTACTATCTTTTATTTTGAATGTAACAGGAATGAGCCGTCACAGATCTTACAAAGTCATTCAGCTTTATAACTATGGCCCTATGAAACTTTATGGAAGGCACAAGTAACAGCGGATTATTAAAAGCATATCGAAAGTCCACTTCACTTCTTATACCCTGTCGTTGGAAAAAAACAACTACTGCAGCTTCGCTTTACCAATGCTACAATGTAATTTGGAACCTGGTGTAAATATTTGTTTCATATCCCATTGTTAATTAAAGTTCGTGAATAAATTTATAGACTTGATGGTATTTCGTTTTATTTAGTTAATCGTTGTAAGGAACTGGTGAAATACGAGCCTTTGTGCACCTAGTTGATATGCAGTAATTCCAAGTTAATACAGTTGACTCAGTCACACATCCCAACAGTCCCTGCCTGTAATCTTAGTTTCTGTTCTTTTTTGTTAATTTTTTGTACGCACAGTATTTTTTTTAAAATGCTGGTATTCTAGGCGAAAGTATTTTTCTTGAACAATCCTTTTTTCTTATTTCTTAAATAATTACCACCATACAACACCAAAGTCCAGTTCACATTTGATGGTGAATACCCTTGAGATTTCAGAGGGTTAGCAATGAGTTAACGTTTGGAACTACTGCTGGTTGACGCACCTGCATCATACTTTTAAAATGTGGCCGAAATCTCAGTTGAAAATGTGTACATGTATAAGCAGTGCGTGGATGGCACCAAGGTTATTTGTAACAAAAGAGAAGATGTAAACTGTTTATGGAATACATTTAACACTACCAAAACACACTGGCTTTTCATGTAAATGGAACAGAATAATCAACCTCCTTTCTTAGATATACTTATAAGTAGAAGATGTGATTCGTCAAACAGACAGACTACACGGACAGGGGAGTAATCTTGGTTTTAATATTGTCCAGCTCAATACAAATTTTGATTGACAGTTTATTCAATACGGTTAACGGTATCTGTACGAATTACAGAACTGAAAGCGAGATGAGGCCTCTAAACTTCATAACTGGTTGAGGAGATACAGTATCGGCAGACTTGCTATATTTCCGTCATCTGAAAAGTTTGATTACATCAACCTATTGTCCGGAGGAAAGTCGAAAAGTCTTTTTTACAGGTTCGTACATATTGACATCTTCTTCATGTCTTGGAATTCTTTCAAACGGAACAAACTATGTTGGGCCTAATGAGCGTAATGGAATATAACTCTGAGTACATCGTCTATGTAGTTATTATTCTGATCCTCCAGTTATTCTCATAGTGCATATTTAAAGATATCTCGACGCATCTGGTCATAGTACAACATATCATTATTTCGAATTTTATGATTAGCGTAATAGAATAGCGAATCCATCATAAATACGATACTCGTAGTGATATTGATTCCCAACCACGCTGTCTTTGAAGCTGAACATAATTGCTGAGAAAACTTGCATTCGACACGCGAACCTAAAAAAAGTTAAAATTGGTGAGTGCGGGAACACAGAACCTCAATGACTTTGCTCGGTCAAGCAGGCATGGTCACTGTGTAACGTATCTCTTTCCGCACCAAATATGTTATTCTATACTCAGCCTAAATCTTTTTTAAGGAGTGCTGAACATCATATTGCTGATTGGATGATATGACGCGTCACTATTGTCAGCGACGTGACTTTCACGTAGAATTTAATAAATTAAGCTATCACATCGTTACAAATCTATAATTTCGGGATTGGGTCTTTTTCTGTGATGGTAAATATAAATATGCTAATGCTGAACACAATCATAATTCTACACACTTTCCTATTATACATTGACCTCTTACGTTTCATTCTACTCCATGAGGTATAGTGCGTTTTTTCACTACTTATTATAAACGTTGACCA